GATTAGTTTGACGGGATTTATTTTTGATAAATCCATGCTGACTTCTGTTAATCACTGCGTTTTCTTCAAGATGCTTGCAGACTTTTTTATAATTTGCTCCAGAATTTTTCCGGGGATTGATGTTAGACTAACTGGTCCATAATCCCCAGGTTCATTTTTTTCTCCTTTTTGAAGTTTGAGACAAGGTTAGCTCTTCTCCAGTGCAGCAGAGTTGCCTTCACTGCCCCTTGTGCAGGATACTTGCAAACCTCCAAGTTAGAGGCTTACAAGCATCTGCCATGAGGGTGACTGATCCTTTCATAGTCAGGCTGCCTTTCCGTCAAGTCGCACAAGTTAGTTGGCATCATATGAAAAGAAAGAAGGAATGGGGATGGAAGAGGAGAATCATCCCGTCAGGTCAGCCTGGTGGACTTGCTTTGGCTAAAGATGGCTTGGGGAAAGGCAAGGAGCAAATGGCAGATCGTCCCAGCTGAACTGATGGGGTGCTTTGGAGCTTCACCAGTGGAAACACCAGCAGCGGAGGAAATTTTATTGTGAAATGTGTTTCATGTACCAAGAAAAGAAGAATCAGATAGCAGGTGGTCTCAACAAAGGCAGTGAGGGGATTACTGCTTTTTCTCTTTGTTGCGGCCTGACAGAAGGGCCCTGCCACTCACAACTCCTGTTGTCTGACAGACGAGCGACATTTCAAGAGTCCTGCCGATTGCCTTCTCTGCTATACCCTTGCCCACTAATTTTACTGGTCCAGTTATTCCCAGTCCTTGTGTTCAAGCTGCCAAACAGTTGAAATATCTATGAAGAATCCATAGCAGCTCAGAAGCTGAGCCAATAGCCAAGGACATTTCATTTTGAATATATCAAAATCAATGGCCATGGAACTTTCAAATTTCACCCTACATTAACATTGGGTAAATGTCCCTTTGGCAAGACAACAACGGAATCAGCTGCCTGGGGAGGTGGGGGGCTCTCCCCCACTGGAGACATTCAAAAGAAACTGGACAGCCATCTGAGTGGGATGGTGTAACTTGGTGTCCTGCAACAGCAGGGGGTTGGACTGGATGACCTTCATGGCCCCTTCCAACTCTACTGTTCTATGATTCTATGATTTCCTTGCAGTGCGTCGCATGCACATTCAAAACTAAACGAATAAATGAAATACTCACATGAAAGGAGGAAGACTAAGCATTAGGTCAAGCCGATGCTCATACTCCAGCAGACACCCCACTGTTGTGATGCCGAGACAGGGTTCATTTGCAAGCGCTACCTGATTTTGCACTCTACCTGTGTAATCATTTTGTGTATGTCAGCCCGTTCCGGTTCCCCAAGCTGCCTCTGCTAAGAGCTTGCAATGGGCCATAACGGGAAGCATTTTGGCACTGCAAAAGCAGCCACTGCTCTTCCATATTGCGCTTCCTTTCTCAGCCTTACATTGCTGGCTTCAGTTCTAAGAGTTCAGTCTTGCGCTCTCTTGTTCAGGGGTTCGGCACAGCAAGCTTCTAACATTTGCCAGAAGGAGCTAAGGAAGAACTTGATATGAAATTGCAGCAGAGGGCTGTGATGGCATCCGAGGGATGCCTTTTGGTGCAGCCAAGATCCGCAGTGCTTAGCCTTTGATGAAATATGCCCGGCTTCCCATTCTGTGTGACTGACACCCATTTGCGGTGGAGCCCGTGCCTTGGTCTTTCCAGGTCAGGAGTATTCCCTCCCCGATGAGGAGAAAGACGGATTGATGGCGCGACCTTGTTTTCTCAAAAAGCATGGAACACTTTAATCAACTAATCACTTTTATTGGAGAGGCTGGCAGATAGCTGCAGCGTCCAAGGTGAATGGCCAGCCTCCTTGTCTTAAGAACAGGAGGCTGCATGAATATTGAGGGATGATTCCTTCTGAGATAAGCCTCAGACCTCCTGTTCTTATTAAATCGCCCTGTCACTGAAAACAAAACAAAAAAGTGGGCGTTTGTCTTCAGCAGGATTGCATCGCAAAAGTGGATTTCAGATTTGGCCATTTCAGAGATCCAGTTTTGATTAGGGTGGATCCTGGCCACTGAACTGATAACAGGTAACAGCGGGTCACCTTTGCTGCTCAGCCCTTCTTTCAGGCCGCTCTCCAGGAGGTGGAGAACTTAGGAAGACGACCTCCTCCTCCTCCCAAAGGTGTGGCAGTAACAGTGGCCCACCTTTCCCGATATGCACCGAAGTGGCCCCAGGCGGGCCTGCCGCCTTCCATTTCTCCCTTGTTCCAGAATTTCACTCTGCACCACATTGTTCCAATTCAACGCTCACAGCCTCTGAAATTGGAGCGTGCCCTCTTTGCCACGGGGTTCGGTCCCTTGGGGTATCACCAGTGCGTCTGCGCACCTTGATGGAATGCTGCAAAAAGCAACCCGTGACGAGCATCAGTCCTCTCTTCGTGCAACGTTTTTCCAAGATGCATGTCCCCCCCACACTCTCCTGTTAATGCTATGCCCACTCCCATTTTTTTAAAGATCCAAAGCAGTTCACAAGACTTAAACCTCCGCATCGCACCAAGTATCAAATTTAAAAGGAGAAGCAGCTCCATTGAACCCATACAAAAAAGATTCAACCCTGATGGCGTAATGAATTTGGTACAATCCTGTGTACATTTAGACTGAACAGGTCCTCCAATTCTCAGTCTGCCATGAACTTTTTCCTGCCTTAATATGCATAGAAAGATACCCTTTCTTTAAATTTAACACTGCAGCTCTGTTTCACAGCAACTTCGCATGACACCCCTTCCTTCCCGCGGTCTCTCCCACTAAGGTAGGAGACCATTTTCTCTGTGAAGTTAGACAGAATCACTCCGAAATTCTCCATGCCAGGTGATCGAGTTACTGAGTACAAATTTGGTCTATCACATACAGGCTGAGAAAACTGGCAAGGCTGTGGATTCGCTTTTCCTGTCTCTTTCTCAGTCATCTGAATTCTGCATCAGGGAAGGCTCTCTTCTGGGATCTCTGGACATTCTGGCAATCAACCCTAATTGCATGCATTGCATAATTAGGCTGCATCTGCTAGTCAAGGGGAAGAGAAAGGAATTGTGCGGAACCAGCAGATGCCAAACTGCTGCATCGCAACCCCTCATCCACAAGCTTTTCACCATCTGAAGCAAGTGAAGATGAGGGCTGGATTTATGGACCTCTTAGGTTGTTAAAGGGACATTAAGCCAAAGAATTTGTTGCTGCATAAATGCGCATCGTAAAGCACTGTTTCACAAGGCGGGTTGCTAGTATTCCTTTGCTCTCTCTTAGGAAACAGTTCCAGCTAGAGAATGCTGAGAGTTGGACTCTTTTTTTACTATTGTGCCTTTGACTTGTCTTTGGAAGGAAGACTTTGGTGTCATCCATGCTCTACAGTCAAGGTGTAGCACTTCAGGTCCAGGGGCCCAGTTTGCCCCCCTGGTACCCTAATCTGGTCCTCTGAGGTGGCTCAGATGGCTCTGCCCAGTTTTCACCCTCTGCTGGTCATTTGACCATTTCCCAAATTTGGTGTGGTTTCCCCCACTCTCATTCTGAAAGGTTGAATGCCTCCGCTAAGGTTTAGGTGCTGCAGGTAAGAGCTGAACACTAAATGGCTGGGTTCAGGGGACCATTGCGGTTTTCTACCATGGTTGGTCTGTCGTGATGTCTGAACCCAGTAGTGGCTTTTCACCATGGTACGTTTGGTCTTTAGACCCCACATTAAGGAACGATGGTTTGTTCTATAGCTCCTCTGTACCACCATGATTTGTCGCTGTCTGAACTCGAGATTGTGACTTCCATGGTCCTGGTATGCCACGACCACAAAGTCTGCTAGCAAGACTGGCACCCTGCAGCCTCCATGAGTGGACCAATGAGGAAGAGGCAGGCAGCACAGGCAGAGACTGATGCACCCTGGGACTGATTCTCAGGCACAGTGGCTGGGTGGATATGTGTCCACTTTGGGAGGGCTGGGGGGGTGAATGGAGACCACGATGACCTAGACACCACTTAACTGCCTGTCTGGTGGATCAAGGGTTTTTGTAAAAAGCTGTGGAAAATGGTGACCACGCGAGGCTGCTTGTTGTGTTGTGTGAATTCATCCAGTGTGTTGGTGTTCTGGCATGGCTCACCACCTTTCTGTGAACTGCCTAAAGACCTTTGGCCAGTCGGTGGCCACGACTGTCATAAATGAATAAATGCGGCCCCCCAAAGCTTCTCCAAAAGGGAGAAACTCTGGTCCTTGAGTTGAATGGAATTTGGTCCTTGAGTGGCTCTGTGACCTTGTCTTCCAAGATCATAGAATTGGGAGGTATCTAGGAGGCCTTCTAGACCAACCTTGCTCAGTGAAAGTTCAACCAAGCAGAATGCAACGGATGGAGTCCGGTGGGTCCAGTGTCGGTGAGACAGCGCATCCTCCCAGAACTTTGAAGGAGCAACCCGTGGCACCGCATCCCATAGCAAAAATGGGGATTTGGTACCACGGACAGCTCCTTTCATGGTCAGGCTGCAATAAGCGTGTTCTTTCATTGGTGAATGAAAGTTTGGGGGCTGCAAAATGTTTGCAACAATTGCATCCCTGCTCATGTCTGAGATTGCAAATGGGACACAATTGGTAGACAAGAACAACATTCCAGCGTATCCAAAGGCTAGTCCATGGGACTACCATGAGGTATGCCTGTGATTGCCAGGACTGGCCAAATGAGCAAGGATCAAGGGCTCTCTTGTTACACCCTTTCCCATTCATGTTTGCAATTGCACAAACATGAAAATTGCTCAAAAGATGCACCAGTAGAATGTAAGGATGGCTCGCATTTTCCAGAATTTTTGCAACTTTCTTCCAGAGATGGATGTGGGGCCAATTCAGCCTGCCTTGAATGTGAAGATCCCAGGATGAAAAAGGCAGAATAAATCTGAGCCCCAGAAACTGCTGCGCTGCTTCTGCTGCATCTTCTTCTTCATCATTATCTTCATCATCTTTGCTTTCCCTACTGACTTTTGCTGTTCTCTTCCTTGTGCCCAGATGGTCCTGCACTGCGATTCCTCAGAGACCCTGGCTTTCTCCGTCCTCCTGGAGAGATACTGTGAAGAACTGTTCGCTTATCACAACGTGACAGGTAATGGCAACCTTCAGGTAGCACACAACTGTGATGTCCCCTGGCTGAGATGGCTTCAAAAGGGGATTGGCCCTTCATGGATGACAGCTCTATCGATGTATTTTGGCCAAGACAGCTATACAGCTATACTGAACCTCGGATGCAGTAAAGATCTGTAAATTTATTATTATTATTATTATTATTATTATTATTATTATTATTATTATTACATTTCTATGCCACCCCTTGCCGAAGCCTCGGGGCGGCTTACAACACAATAAAATACATTGAAATACAATAGAACATAATAAATTACCATTAAATACAAAAATACAAAAAATACACTGAGTTTCAAACATAATAATATAAAATTAAAAATAACAGTATAAAATAAGTAAATAAATAATATAGGAGGAGAAAAGAGAAGGAAGAAGAAGTTGCCCTGGCCAGATCATATATTTTAATAATTAAAATGATGTTTAAATAAAAAGGTCTTTATTTCTGCACTTGTAGAGTGATTTGCCGGTCTCATACATGGTGTTGACACAATGCAAAGATTGTAAAATTCACATGAAAAAATGTACATAAATCATTTTAATCAACCGCATAAGAATGTCTATATTTCAGAGATGTGCTCAATTGAGACATACCTTTGGAAAATATGAATGAAAATGTTCAAATACTGGCAAGCAAAAAGGAGAAAAATGCTTTGAGAAGGAATTGGGGAATTTCAGCTTCAGTTTTGTTGATTCTCGCATCCCTGAATAAGGGATTGTTGGATTGTGAAGCTCTCTCTCTGTCTCTCTCAGATGGTTTTGTGTGTGTTTTTGAGGTCAAATTCATCCCATTTCTGGATGAGTTTGGAAGCTTTGATTTTAAAAAATTCATACAGAAATCCATGTCTTTGTAAGATGCTGTTTCATGGCAACATTCCTTAAACATGTAAGTATTTTCTGCACTCTTTCCCTGAGGTGACCCGCTCTGGAAAACTTAAAAATGCAGATTTTGGGATGCACCTCTGTCTTGCCTCACTGAAAGTCTCCAGAGGTCCCAACTGGGTAAATTACTTGAAAACAAGCAAGCAACAAACCCCTTGATGGCCAGTGTTCACCCTCCCCTACTCAGTCACTGGGAAACTGCTGCGAGGAAACTAAATCCTTTGACCCCTCCCCCCTTTGCATCCTTTCCAGAAACATTTGGTTGCTCAATATGGACTAGCCTACCCTTCGGTCCGCTTTAGCAGAGAGCCTCTGCTGTTGTGCCCCCGTCAGAGGAGGCAGGGACCCAACAGGGCTGGGCTGCTGGTTTTGAGCCGTGTTTGCAACTTGGCTGCTTTGGCCGCTGCCGGACGCAGGATCCAGCTGCGATCTTCACGCATCCTCGCAGCTTTATGCGCCCTTCCGTCTCAATGGCAGGGACAGAGTGCTGTGTGAAAGCGTCGATGATCCTCTGGATGGCCCCAGTGCTCAGGCAGATGCACTGAGTACTCTCGCAACCTCTCGCTCCACCTCTCTTCCTCTCTCCACATATGCATGTATAAATATATGTCTCAAAAGTACAATAAGGACCATGCTGCACTGCCCTGAAAGGGCCGCACTGCTTGCCAATTGCTTTCTGGTATGGAAAAAGTAATTACTACTAGATACAAATTTTAAAGTATGTCTGTCTGGCCCAAAACGGCAGGGCCACAGCTTCACTCTGCACGCTAGATCCCCAGAGAAAGGGCATGTGCCCCAAAGTTCTGGCAATGAGCCATTGTATGTTCTCTGTTGTTGTCTTCCAACTGCTAACCTCTCTCTCTCTCTCTCTCACGCACACACACACGCACAAATGCACAGTGCCACCCCCCCTTAGCTGAAGAAGGGCGTCCCATCCCTTCAAGCCCTGGTTTAGCCTCTTCATTTATTGACAGTGATTTTTAGAGGGAACCTTAAGAATGGAACGTGGATGGCTGTCTCCATCCAAATATCCTTTGGGTGTATCAGGAGACCTGACTAATGACTCCTCCTAGCCAGCCAATTGCCTGTCAGAGAAATGTGACCAAAGCTCTTAGCATACCCTGTATCCATCTTCCCTCAGGAACATCGGAACAACTGCTATGCATTATAATCATCATCATCTTCATCATGCATTTACACCCCACCTTCGTTCCTCTTGTGAGGAACCCAAAGCAATTTACATAGTTTTCCTCCTCTGTACTTTTATCCTTACAACAACAACCCTGTGAGGTAGGTTAGGCTGAGAGGCCATGGCTGTCCCAAAGCCACCCTGTGAGCTTCACGGCTGAGCAGGGACTAGAACCCAGATCTTCCAGGTCCCAGTCCAACCTTTCAACACCACTTGCATTATAGCCGCTCTCTTATGAAGGGACCATGCTTCCGAAAGGCATTAAAATAAGCCCAACATGCTTCAAGAAATCATAAAATCTGCCTTCAGGCTGAAGACACATAACGCTGTAGAACAGTGCTGACAACTCAGGTGATAGCCCAATCAATATTCGTGTAGTGTTTCATAACTAATAACAGCTCCATTTCAGAAAAGGGGAAAGATGAACAGGGGATCTCAGATTTTAACAGGATAGATGTCATCTTAACTAATTCAACTAATTATTCGCCTCTGAGCCAACGGTATTAGCACTAAATGCCTCAAAACATGATTACTATCAAGCAGACGAACTCAAAATACAACAGTCAGAAATAAGGTTGTGGGATACTTTAAAATAAAACATGGGAAATAAATGTTGCTCATTGATCCCTCATCCTTAAAGCAAGTTGCGAACACAGTCTGGGCTTTGGAGAAATGGCATAGGTGCTTTTTAATAATCTAAGATGGCCAATGGATGCCTCTTGTTCAGGAGCAATTATCTGATGGGTAGGTCTCCTTGAAGGAGCTGAGATATCTGCCCAGTGCAGAGTTGCAGGGATGCAGGAGAATATGGTTTGTGAGCGGAATGTGATGACTTTTCCAACTGGAGCCAGCAGATTTCAAATTGAGCCTGCAGATTTCAGATCCTTTCCTCCCTGCACCGCTGGTGTTGAAACAATTTATAAACAGCCAATGTGTAGTTCTTCAAAGGGAAGGACAGGATTTCTTCTTGATCCTTCCAGAGAGCAGGACATGGAATAAGGGTCGCAGGAAGCCAGGTTCCAGCTGCACTTCAGGAAAAATTCCCGACTGTTGGGGCAGTGTGACAGTGGAGTCAGTGACCTGGGAAGGTCGTGGGCTCTGCCGCACCAGAGGCGTCCAAGACCCAACATTACAAAGTTTGCCAAGCCCCTTGGTTTCTGGATCTGGTGTGCTTTAGTCATCCCTTTTCATTAACATGGCACTTCTGGAATGTTTCGCCACTGGAGAGAGTCGGGCGCCCTTAGGACTGCTAAAGGGGTACAGAATTCAGATACAAGCATGCTTGCTTCGGTATTAGCTTGTAATCTTCAGGCAGCGGTGGCACTGATTTCTTGAATTGCTATTCCCTTCGTTCATTGGCGGCTCCAGAGCAATGGCTTCCTCTTTTTTTGTATTCTCCTGGCATCACCCTGTGGCCTCTAGACGGCAACTGGAGGGGTGGAGGACTCAGCTCCAACCGCAGAAGCTCACTCTGAGCTCAGAGCAGCCACTCCGTTTTGCCAGGTGCTTCTTCACCGTTGCGAAGGCGGGCATTTTGGGAGGCAGAGAAGGAAGCGGGTGGAGGCTGGCATGATGCACAGGACCTGGCAGTGCTCAGCCTGCTCACCTTGCGCACCAAGATGCTTCAACATCCGGGATCGGCCATCAGGCGTTTTGCAGAACAGAGGAAGGCAGGAGTGGCGTCCACCTCTGCTCTCTTCCTGCCCAATGTACGGTGCCCCAAATCCTCTGAGTTAGGAGCGTTATCCGCTTTCGGATTGGATTGTGTCCTCAGTTCATTCATCCCCTAAAATGCTGCTCCCATTTTCCTTCCCATAATAGGGTAGCTTTCTTTTCCTGATTCCCACCTCCAAACCCCAAACTGTAAATCCTCTTTTTCTCCCTCTTCCTGCCCCCTGTAGGTCTCTTAAATCAGATTTTGAGCACTGCACGAAAACTGCATGGCAACCCGCAACCAAGGAAGCTGTTACGCTTCCTTATCCATGAAATTGGAACTGCCCAAGTGTGTTGTCATTAGATACTGTCGGAAAGTTTAGTTCTCAACAGATGGGCTTTTCAAAAATTCCTGTTCTGTGTTATTTATAAAAGGCACGATGGTGAAAGGCAGGTGATGAGAGCGTTAGCGATGGGATTTTCAAAGCAGATTGCCACGACTCTATTCTTGTGGACCAAAACCGGGCCTTTTCAGCAGAGCCCACTTTGTTCAAGGAGGGCGATATCTCCGGTATTCCACTTGTCTGGTTTCCAAAAGGGCTTTCAGAGCCCTCCATTTCCAAGCAACAGGAGAGACAAGGAAGCCTCTTTGGTTCAACAGACCTCGACCTCTGCCGTCCCCTTCTCCTTTTGCCTTCAATCATTCCCATCCTCAGGGTGTTCTCCAATGAGACCTTCCTTCTCATAGGTGGCCAAAGTACTTGAGCATCATCTTCAGTGTCTGTCCTTCTGCAGAACAGTCAGGGTTGATTCCTTTTAAGGTCGACTGATTTGATTTCTTTGCAGTTCAAGGGATTCTCGGGAGTCTTCTCCAACACAATTCAAAAGCACCAATTCTTTGGCACATTTTAAATCTTCAATGCCTCCATTATGGCAGAGCCCACAACCTCCCTAGATCATGGGTTCCAACAGTCAGGAAGTTTTTCCTAATGTTCAGCTGGAATCTGGTGTCCTGTAACTTCAGCCCATTATTCCATGTCCTGCACTCTGGGATGACCGAGAAGAAATCCTGGCCTTCCTCTTTGTGACACCCCTTGAAGGATTTGTAGAGTGCTACCATCTTTCCCCTCAGTCTTCTCTTCTCCAGGCCCAGTTCTCTCAATCTCCTCTCACAGGGCTTTGTTTCCTGGCCCTGGATCATCCTTGCTGCCCTCCTCTGAACCTTTCCAACTTATCTGCAT